CTTCTGCTGGACTGAATCCTAATTGGGGAGAGTCAGAAACTCTCAAATTTTGCTAACAGTAATGTGTAGATAGCTGTTTTATTGTGCTTCTACCTGATCTAAAATCCACATGTTCTTCACTGGAATACTCTCTAATGCCAACCAGTCTGCCAATAAGTTCCTTGGTATATCATATACAACTTATTCACAGGTAGTGAAGTGGTCACTAACTGAAACTGTGAATGTGCTTATGATCTTACTTCAGCTTTCCTTTGCTTTACAGACTTGCAAAGGTCAAAAATATGAGGATTGGTCGTAAAGTTACTTTTTCATCACCATCATAATCGCAAATGGTTGCTAAACAAGGACTACCTGTATAGGATGTAACAGACTGATTTGACAGTAATTAGCAGGCAAGTCTTTTCTTTTCTTCTTAAAGGTTTAAATAACTATTGTCATACCCCTGTCTCTAGAACACATGGCTGTGCTGTGCGTGTATATGTATGTGTGTGTGTATATATATATATATATATATATATGTGTGTGTGTGTGTAGGAATTAGGAAGCGAGGGTTGAAGCAGCCCATCAACACAAATTACTTTTCATCAGCTTCAGGGAAATTAGTTCAACCCCAGCTGCCTTTGCAACTCAGGGCTCAGTGTGGATATGAGTAGATATTAACCTCCAAAAGTCAGAAGTATCCTTGATTTAGCAGTGATTAGTAGCTGATTCCTTTATTCCATTTTTACTTTGTTCTGGGTTATTTGTACTGTTTTTTTTAATTACAGGACCATCTGCATTTAAATTTGGGCAGGAAATATCCTTGGCAGATAGTTATATTCTCTTTCTTGGCCATAACACAATCCTGAACAAATCACAATTTAGTGTTCAAACATCTTAACTTGTTACCTTAATTGATGTTAGTTTTTAAAGTTATATAAATGCCATAAAGAACCTTTACTTCATCTGCATAATAAATCAGTGTTTCTAGGTTGGGTTGTTTATCCACAATACAAGATCTAAGTTGCAAGAATTTAATGGTATTCTTCAACTTAGTTATGGAAACATTATTTTTTTCTGTCCAACTTAATAACACTGGTAGCAATAAGGTGACAAAGGGGGGGGGAAGGATCTTGTTCCATGATTGATGATCTTCCCATCAATAGATGGGGTATATATACATATTGTGGTGGTCAATAAGGCTGAGTAAATTACCAGACCTCTTAGTTACAACTCAGTCTTGTAGGTACTTTTCACAATCTTTGGGCTGATCTTAGGAGATGATAGTACTTAGGTAGACTCAACAGTTATGTTGCATGTTGATATCAATGAAAGCAGAAAATAGAGTTGCCAAATTTAGGTTGATAGATGAGAGGATGAAAGTCAGAACCTCCAAAGTTGAACAGACTATGGCTGCTTTTATCCAAATCTTTTAACCTGTTTATGCAATTAATGCTTTGTATACAGTGGTGCTTAAAAGTTTGTGAACCCTTTTGAATTTTCAATATTTCTGCAT